GAGGAGGAGGAGGAAGAGGAAGAAGGAGGAGGAGAAGGAGGAGGAGGAAGAGGAAGGAGGAGGAGGAGGAAGAGGAAGAAGGAGGAGGAGAAGAAGGAGGAGGAGGAGGAAGAGGAAGAAGGAGGAGGAGGAAGAGGAAGAAGGAGGAGGAGGAGGAAGAAGGAGGAGGAGGAGAAGAAGGAGAAAACTAAGCCCAAACTAAACAGAAAGGGTCATAGAAATTAATCAATGATAGAAACTAATCAATGATCTAAAAACAGAAACACAAAAGGGAAAATCAATGAAACGAAATGTTAGTTCTGATGAATAAAGCTGTTCATCTTCTAATTACTTAGGAAAAAAATCAGTAGTACATTACCAGAAAAGTAAGAAGGAACAACTAATAGAGCTCTACAGCCATTAAGGGAGTAATAAACTGGGTATGGTTGTAGAGGCTTGTAATCCCAGCACTTGGGAGCTGAGGCAGTCATACTGCCAAGAGTTCAAGGCCAGCCTGAACTATATTAGTATTACAGCTACAACTTGTCTCAGAAAAACCAAAACTTCAGCAAATCAAACTGAGTAACAACAAAACAACAAAACATCAAAACCAAGTGGGCTTTAAACCCAAGAATACATGGTATAACATTCAAAAATCAACTGACAAAGCCCAGCATGGTACCGCAAGCCTGTAATCCCAGCACTCAGGAAGCAGAAGCAGGAGGATCACTGAGTTTGACTGACATCAACCTGTGCCACACAGTGAGTTTAAGGCTAGCCTGCACTACAAAGTGAGATCTTGTCTCAAAAAGACCAAACCAAAGAAAATCAAAACCATATTATCATTTCAACAGCTGTTTAAAAATAGTAACAAAATCCAACAACAAAAACTGAGCCAATCAAGAACAGAAGGAAAGTTCCTCAGCTTAATATAGTACAAACATCTTTATTAGAAAGATATAGTTAACATTAAACTTAAGATTAGAAAACACCAACGAAAGACAAAGAAGTGGGGAGACATATTCCTGTTTATACATCTACAGATTCAACTGTTAGAATGCTGAGTCACAGGCTGGGGAGATAGCTCAGTAGAATAAGCGCTTGCCTGGCAAGTGCAGGGTCCTCAGTTCAATCCCTGGTACCGCAAAAAAAAGCAAAGCTGAGTCTCAAAGTGCTCCACAGAGCCAGTGCCATTCTAATCAATCTGCCAGCAACTGATTTTTTTTTCTTCTTTTCCTTTCTTTCTTTCTTTTCTTTTTCTTTTTCTTTCTTTTTTTTTTTTTTTTT